ATATTCACTCTCTGTGTGAAAACCCTAGTTTTGACACCCCAAATCCCAATCAAAATGATAGAAGCTACCAAAGTGCCCCTCATCATATTAAGAATGATAAAAAACACCCCAACATGATCGAAAATGATGAAAAGCTTTGGTCAATGTCTGTAGCATATCAGGACTGACTGGTTCGGTTTAGACCGGTTGAATGGGTCTGTCCAGGCATCGAATTGGATATCTCCTATTTGATGCAGGTTCACTGGTCCTCCCGATATGAGATCCTCAGAAAGACTGTTGCTGGACTGTTTCCTACTCCGATCAGGCAAACCAACGTATCCCATCCGGTCTTAATTTCACTGGGCATCACATTATAAGTAGCAAAATAGGAAAGAAGAGACCTCATGAGGTTCTTATTGTAAAAGACTAAAGTTACCTTATGAGCGGTGCCTTCATTACCTGCTCCAACACAAAAGGCACCAGCAAACACTGTTGTGTTGACCATCAACACAATTAAGATTAAAGTTATACCCATAATCCATTTTTAGATCTTCTGAATGCAGCCTTAATCTCATAGAACGCCTAAACTGAACATGATTCTGATTGGAAGTGCGAGCATAAATTATGAGAGGATAGACACAGGAAACAACAATGTCCAATGTTCTCTTTCCAATAATAATCAAAACATTTTTTTGTTAATTTGGTTGCTTCATGGCTGCTATTTTTTGGTTCCTTGCTGGCAAGGTTAAAACAATTGGCTGCCGGCTACCTAGGTGGCCGGGCCAACAATCTGCGTAGGTGTAGCCTAGCTGGGTGGGTGGAGGCAGGTCTGGGCGCTTGCCTAGTGCCTGCTACCCCCTTATTACAAAAAAAAAGAAATAAAAAAAATGAAAGCCACATTAAAGAAAAGAAAAGAAAAACTTTTAAGGCTTATTTAAGGCCCTTCTCTCTCTCTCTCTCTCTTTCTCTGTCTCTCGTGGGCCTATGCGCTCTCACTACATATACGAAGGAAACGAAGAAGAAGATGGCCTCCAAGTGGTTAATGTGAGGCCTCTCTTTCTCTCTCCCTCACACACACATACACACAAAGAGACACATGGACCCTTATGTTAACATGTAAGAAGAAGATGATCTCCAAGTGTTTGATGCGAGGTCCCTCACTCTCACAGGCTCTCTGTCTCCCTCTCGACATGTTAAAAGAAGAAAAAGAAGAATGTACTCCAATTGTTCAAGACCTCTCTCTCACAAACAAGGATCATATGATCTCTCTTACTCTGGATAAGAAAAAAAGAAGATGATCTTTAAGTATTTCATGCGAGGCCTCACACACACACACAAACACACTCAATCTATACTGACACAGACACAAAACACACAGTATATATATATATATATTTTGTGGACCCGAATCCGCTAGTATGGAACATCTTCTTTTCAAAGTGGAATCACCTATTATATGAAAGAATGAAATAGTGCTTTCGTTGTTGTGGAATAAGAAGCCTTCGTATCTTAATGCATGTATTTGATTTATTCGGAGCTATTAGAGCGGGATCCACTTTTTGGGGAATATGAGTCGAAGCAATAACAAGAATATTTCTAGTGGAACATCTTTGACAATCTCTGGAGAGATGGTTCACTAATAGACCAAGGGATAAGTAATTCGACTCATTCACATACAGATCATGAATGTTTGGAATCGAGACATTGCTTTTGCTAATTCTAATTGAGGGATGACATTAAACCGGTCCATTTTTGGCGTCATATACATAGTTAGCACATTTGTCGTTAGCACGTTCGTCATAGTTAGCAGCTCTGCATCAAGGTCACCATCAGTATCGATATCATATATATACACGCACACACACATAGTTTGTCGTTAGCATGTTCGTCATAGTTAGCAGCTCCGCATCAAGGTCAACATCAATATCGATATCATATATATACATGCACACACACATAGACACACACACATAAGACATATGGTGCCCACCCCAAAGAAGCACCCCCACTCTCAACCTCCCATCCCCCTTTAACAAAAGGGCCGCCCAGCCGCCTAGGTGGTTAGGGTCCCTGGCTGCCTAGGTAGCCACCTCCACCTGTTTGAGGGTTGCCTGCTGGCAATGGTTATGGGCATGACAAATATTACAAATGTACTCTAGAGTCTAGAGTTTTGCTGTGACAGGGGGATTATTCTTGTGGCTATTGACTGACCTTCATCTTCTACAACAACAGGGAATGTTTCTAGTTTATTTTAGTCACGGATGCTTTATGCTAGCTAAAGATATGTTGCTTTTCGCGGCATTCTATGTGCAAAACTTTTTGTAACACTAACACTTCTATTGTTATTGTTGATATTTCTAGTTTATTGAGGGCGGAGAGTAATAGCAGAGGTGTTCCTTCATCCATCCAAAAGCATCAACTGCTGCCGCCACCACCGCCTAGTTTACTTCCTCAAGCTTCGAGAGTAACATAATCATTTAGAGCTATTTACCCTTTTAGGTTTTTGCGCAATCAGTTGATTTCCACCCATATTCATGGACTATAATGTATTCTGTTAAATCTGTTTCATTTGATATGTTAATGTGGTTCTATAGTTCTTGTTGGTCATTTTTTTTTTTTTGTGTTTTATTGTTGTACTTAGCTAAATTCAAAATCAGAAGGTTTTGCATTTAAATCTGCAAAACAGAAGGGATCTATCAGATTGCCAAACCCCCTCCTGGACCTTCCTGCAGTTTCTGAAACAACACGAAATGGTGGTGAGTTACCATCTCAGTTGTCAGGCTTACGAGTTTTCTAAATTTCATATTGGAAATTTTCGTTTTCAGCAGTCACGTCTACATTGGAGTATGTTTCATGAGGATCACTTGTATGTTATAGATACTAAGGCAATTTTTGATCACCTTCAAAGGTTCCTTTTTTTAATGACAAAACGTAACATTACACAGACCACAAACAGGAAATTCAACTCGGCACTAACAGAGATTACTAGGATGCTTCTCAGGACACCTATAAGATAGAAAAGAGCAAAAGGCCCAGGCATTGTCTCTTTGAATATATTCCTACTTCCCAATGCTCCCCTTGTGTATGGCTGAGGAAAAGGGAGTTGTCCTACCATTTTGTCGATGTCCTGCTTGAATGGTAATTGGATGGAATTCTTCAGCTGTGCTAGTGGTGCACATTTAAGGTCTGTAACATACAGGCCTTAAACAATCTGTATAGTAAGTGCAAATTGGAAGAGAATTATTTTGGAGGCTTCAAAATGTGATTCTCTTGAAATCCCCAGGAATGAAGGGATTGTTCATATTATTTTCTTCTGAGAATCTTCTGAATGGAGTACATTGGCCCTTTATATTTCAAGTATTGGTGATTATATGGTGTCAAATTGTTCATTTGGGCCTACAAGCAAAACTCCAACTTAGGAGTACTATGGGATGTAAAGTTTTATGAAAACAAGTTTGATCCACTCTAATGGGCGGTCAATGTTGAAGGTGATTGATTTGGAATATTTGTTGAGCTTCAGTCCATTTCTTAAATGATGGAAAAATCTTGGGTGAGCCCACTAGCTCACAGGAAAAAATGAGCCCAACAGTCCAGATTGAATCTGGGCCGATCTGACGGTCATGGATGTTTGGTAGTGCTTAAATTTTAATTTTTTTTCTACAAATCCAAATAACTTGAAATTTGGAGCGTGTGTACATCAAAAATAGGTGAATATTCGAAAAATATCAAAAAAATATTTTACATGAAATAAAATGACCAAAATACCCCAAAACTTTTCAGGGGTATTTTGGTCATTTATTTTTTGTGAATAATTTTTTTTTTTTATATTTTTATTAGGTGTGCCTTGATGAGAAGAACGCACGCCTAAATTTTCTAGTAATTTGGATTCGTAGAAAAAAATTAAAATTCAAACACTACCAGACATTCGTGTTCGTCAGATCGGCCCAGATTCAATCTGGGCCGTTGGGCTTATACTATTCCATGAGCTAGTGGCCTCACTCAAGCTTTTTCCCTTTAGTGATATAGATCAGAATTAGCATAATTTGAGAGTTATGGGGTCCAAAAAACATTCCCATGTAGAAATTTATCAGAATGAACAATTTGGATACGTGGGTCATTGAAATCTGTCTCCTTTGAGTGTTCTTGTTGATGTATTCATAATTGGAGTTTACTTCGTCAAGTTAGCTGTGTTTCTTTTTGGATTAATTGTAGTACCTTTTTTTTTAATTAATTGTTGATTGATTAAGTCTTACTTGGAGTTTTGGGCTTCTTTTGCTATGCTTAGCCTAACTTGATTTTGCTAATGAACTTCACATTGAACAACTGAGATTGGCTGATTCTTGTGTTCCGTTTGGTCAGAAAATTTAATCGTCTTAACTTGTTGGCCTGTTTACATTTCTTTAATATTTAACTTTTATGAATTATATGATTTTTCATGAGTTCTCATTCATGCCTCATTTGTGTTTCTCTTTCTGAGATGGCTACTATGGCGATATTGTATTTATATAATTGGCTACTATGGCTACTATGGCGATATTGTATTTATATAATTGCAAAATATTTTCCAGGTGGTGATGGATCGCAAACAATAACAGAAAACATAAACACACACACTCCATCAACTCAAACATTGCCCTTTTTAGCACCATCACCTCCCCTTCCTCCACCTCCTCCTTCACTAGCCACAACATCGTCCATCAAGGAGCATGATGCTACTGAAACCTCTAAGTCTGTGAAGACACACGAGGTCAATCCACCACGTATTTCATCATTACCTTTTGTAGGTGAGTTCTCTGTCGCTCTTATTATTTTTGTTTACACGTCTGGTTGCAGTTGTGGCTCTTTCTTTAGCAACAAACGTTTTTACAAGAACTTCTTCATTACAACTCCTTAATTATTATATATATTCAATTTTTTTATTCTTACTTCACTGTAGGTACATTACTTTTCAGCAATACTTGGGTTGCTATCTCAGACACTCCTGATATGACTTCATTTAGTACCACACCTATACTAGTATCTGCACCTGGCAACTCATAGAATATATTTTCCCTTTAAAGGCACATATCGTTCCTGCCCTCCATGCATAAATGCGCATGATTACAATGTGTCTGTTGTGCTCTCGTGGCCTTTAGATAGTTTGCTAGTTTTTATGATACAGAAACTCCCAGTCTGCCGCTCTAGTATATATTCTCTAGTATTATATGCATACAATATATGGATGACTGAAACACTGTTTCTGTTGTAGTTTTATTTATTCTTGTCTCTGATTGTTGTCAGCAATTCTGGAATTCTCCTGAAGTCATGTAGGGAGTTTGTGCAGGAGGTTTATGGGATGAATTGGGTTATAAATGTTTTGTAATTTCTGGACCTAAATAATAGGGACAAAAAGCAGTTGGCTCTCGTCAAATCATTTGTTTCAAAAAACGCGGTCTGGATCAGGAATTGCCTAATCCAGACTGGGCATTGGCTGGGACCAATCTGCTTCCGGCCAAGTATTGGTACCGGTCAGTCACCCCCTAAAACCCCCATTGTTTATTATTTTTCATTTTTAACTTTCTTTTCTAGGCATATTTCAATATGTAAAACCTTCCTAAAACTTTTATCACTTCATTTTTTTTATTATTAATTTTTTAATATTTTCCCAGATTGCGGATTCGGACCAATCTGGATTTGGCAATCTGACATGGGTTTGGGGAGTGCATGATCTGCCCTCCGATCCGTTCTTTTAAACACTGGTTGAAATTAAGATCCATCGAAGCAGAAATAGTTGTTTCACTGATTATGTTACTTTTTGAAGCGCTCATCCTCTAACAATCATATGGACTTCAATCCCATCTTCTTCATGGTTCATTTTCTGATCTTTTGTTGCTCTTCTATAGCCTGATTATATTCTTTTTCTTCTTGCAGATTCCAAAAGAGCTGCCCTTCTTGTTTCTATACGTAACCCTGGAATAGTTCTCAGAAAGGTAAAGCGATGTTTTTAAGTTGGTTTGGCTGGTTAAAATGGTTTTCCTTTAATGTGATTTTGGATAAATTGGCTGAATGGTTTTGGTGTTTCTCTTGGATTGAAATGGCTTTTGTTCACTATATTTTTGTTTTCATCAAATGCCCTGTTGGACAAATTGCTTTCTTTGTACTCAACAGGCATAGTCTCAGAATATTAGAATGGGATTGTATACCATGGAGACCATTTACCTTTGATACAAGGAGGTCACAATTCTTGATAACCATCTGATTTAAAATTTGATGGATTGGGTGTATCATGAAGCTCGAAAAAATTTCTTTTGAATTTTGAGCCTAGTTAATGGAATAAATGCTACTGCCCAATTTCACATCCAATGGTCAAGATTAATTATGACCTTCATGTGTTAAACTTAATGGTCTCACTATATACTTTTTTATTGTTTCTTGAGAACATTGTCCTCTTAAATGAAAACCAGCCAAGGCATCTTAAACTGAAAATTTCTCCAATCTTTTAAAATTTTTGTTATACATTAATCTGACGCGTTAAATATGACAGGGTGTATGAAATACATATGGTCTCATATGGAAAAAATATGCACACGCACACACAGCACACACAAAAAAGCTCGTAAAGAGTGGCCAAAAACAATAATGTTTTCTGAGAACATTGTAGAGTGTCCACCTATTGAAAGGAAACCTAAATTTTCACTTAAACATATATGCTTAGAAACCATTGAAAAAAAACTTGATATCTTGCTGGCTGTTTGAACTATGCACACCAATTACCTCTCAGAAAAACGTTGTTTTTTTTTTGGTGAAGAAGATTCCTAAGCTGATGTCTGGCATTAAGATGAAACATTGACATCTCATTTTCGGATTTTAATTTTTTTTGAATTGTTCTCTGTGTTAATTTACTTTTTGTTGTGGATCTGGTGAAAAGGTTCTATGCTGATGCCGGTGGAATATTTCTTTCTCCATTAAAAAACGATATTTCTTTTGCCATTATTTGTTTCTTACTGTATAGGTAAGCCGGTATTTGGAAGGATCGTATGAAACTCTTTTTCAATGAGAGGGTTTACACAGGAGTTGTCTGCTAATTGTATGTACTATGACCCTGGATAAAGGAAACTGAAGTAAGAATTACCGTGGAGATTGATCAGTGAGGCTTTTTTATATGTTTCCTCTTCAGGATGGCACCACAAATTTCCAAGGCGTTTTTCCCCTGATCATGTTTTGCAATGCTGTTACTTCACTGAAAGGGAGTTTTTTGTTTAAATAAGAGGCCTGAATAAATCAGTTACTTATAGGATATATGGTACCTTCTAGGAGGTCTCTTCTTTACCATCTTTAACTCTAAGTCAATACATGGGGAATATTACGTCTTCATATGAACAAGAGGCTCAACTGTTAAAGGAAAACTGGGTTCTAACTGATCCACTGTGTTATTCATCTCGGGTTAAATTTTTGTATGCAACGAGATTGAATGCCACATCAAGTTAACCTGGTTTTCCAAAATGTGATGCTATTTGATATTTCATGGCATCCACAAGATTTTCCTTTACTCAGCCATTTTGCGTGCTGTCTATCTCATTGTACCTTTAACAGACAGGTCACATGCAACCTGATTCAGATGCAGTAGGTTCTTCTGCTTCACCAAAGAAAGTCATCAAATCTAGTGGATCGGAAAACAGTCCTATAGCTGTAAAACCCAAGGTTTTTACTGTACTGTGTCATATATCTTTTTATTATTTGGTTGTTAGCTTTGTTTCTTTGCCTCTAGACATGCACAACTCTCTCTCTCTCTCTCTCTCTCTCTCTCTCTCTCTCTCTCTCATTCATAAACATGCTGTATGAGCACATTATACCCTCCACACCAATGCTTTGGTATTGTTGGAGAAAACATTTAGTAAGAACACAGACCCATTATTAATTTAGTTCAGAGGCTAAGGAGAATAAATTTGGAAAGCCATGCATTCAAATTCAGGATAATTATATTCATTGCATCAAATGGTCTTCCTTTTGAACACAAAATAAACTAGTAATGCTTTTGTAGTCTCAAGATTATGCTTCTGTTATCTAATATAAAATTAGATGATTCAGGGAGGTTTTCCTTTTGCATGTTTCACATGCTGACTTCTTGTAGGTTTGGCGTGCAGCATACCATGATGCAGTTTTTGTTGACCACAGGCATATCATTCTGAAATTTATCAGCAAGTCACTGGGTTAATTATACTAGTGACTGGTGTAAAGAGTTAGTGTTCTAGGTCCTTTGCTAGCTAGTGGACCAGTTCAAGGAATGTAGTATGGTCCCAGTGCTGGTATCTTTATGATTTCAATTCTTCCATTAAGTTTAGAAACCTTGGCTTCCAGACCCCCATGGATGTATTTACTGAACTCAGTGAGAACTCTAAAGGTATTCTGGGGCCAGGTGGGAATTTCACGAAGTATTTTGGGAGGCCGGCAGTTACAATCTTGTGTTTCAGGTTGGCCCTTCAGGAATTGCTTATTCCATGGCTATGGAGGGCTGTTGATGCTTTGGACTTCAGAGGCTTTGCATTTTCTTACTCTGGATGCCTAGAGTGGGAGTGGCAGAGACCTTTAGGTGAAGTACATTGGGAGTGTCCATACTAGTGACGTGAAATAATTGTCCACCAAATCAGAATCTCTAGTAATATAATATGAAAGAATTGCCACATTTTCTCTGCACAGCTATTTTTATTTAGGAAGGCGAATGCCTCTTAATGTTTTTGTTGGAAAATTTATTATGGAAGTAGTTTCATGTGGTCGTTATTTACAATGTGGTCAATATTTATTTGATTACACTCATAGATTTTGATCCTTCCCCTCAAAGGTCTTTGATCAACTATATTTCCACAGATAGCATTTTACTACTAAGAGCTGGACAGACAAACCGTCTGAATTTATTTGATTCTTGATTTAACCTTGGATCCTTCAGCTTGGAATGAACAAACGTTTAATAAGAATGTCCCATGTTTATTGGTTAATTTTTCATTTTCCATCACAATTCATATCTATTAATGCTAATTTTGCAGTCGGTCAATCTTCTTGCTGAGGTAGCATCGTCCCTTAAAATGAGAAGGCTTTTGATGCAAGGTGGCTTCCATGGTAAAGAGCAGGTATTTGCTGTTGACCTAATTTATCCTTTGCGTGAGTGAACAAATCCATATTATGTAAATGTGCGGATACATGATGCTTATGTTCAGCCTTGTAAACATCTTGCTTTCAGAGGAAAATTGTTGGAATTCTCTTTCTGCCATATAATAATCTGCACCACTTTTTATGTGTACAACAATGCAATGCATATAGATCCTTGTAGAAAAAGTTGGGAAAAAGATTCTCCAGTTTCTTATTGTCTCTATCTTAGCATTACTTGTTAAAGATGTGACCTTTTTTTTTATATGTGGCACATCAAGAAGTGTAATGCTTATGGCCCTGTTTGGACGTCAACGTTTTTGCTTTTGGAAGAAATATCCCTTTTAGTTGTGCCCGGTATACCCTCTTGGCACTCCACTTCTCAAGGGTGCAATTTCAGGAATGTAACCCTGCTTATCTGCAAAACACTGCCAATAGCGCATTTTTTCATCTAGCAATAAAAGAGAGAAAGGTTTTTATGCCTCTATCAATCTTGGATAGCATTTGCAGGTCATTATGACCCATTAAGGCCTATTTCATGGCTGCCCATAAAGCCTGGTAAAAGAGAAGGCTCTGTTATGGCTACCAA